TAATTTGTGATCCAGGGACACAGTATTGGAAAATTGCTAGTTTGGGAAGGGTTAAATGAATTTTTCCAACTTCAGTAACACCGCAACATTTGTGCCTCTTGTACTTGCTTTTGTCTCGGTTTGAAGTGGCCGAGATTAAATTTTGGCAAGCGTTTCCTGCTCTGAGCACACGGGCACACCGAATGGCCAATTGATTCTCCAACTGACTGACTTTAATATTTCAATTAAGGCTAAATGGATAAAGAATAGATAATGGCAGAGTGGCCATGGAATTTTAAGTAAGTACAAATGTAGCCATCTTCTATCCAACTATCTAACAGCTTAATATGGTTGACTGGTATTGGCTTCCGTACAAATAAATGCTGTACTTGCGCCGCTGATTTCTCTGTCCCGCAGCACAGCCTCAAAAACACTGCGATCTCCAATTGCTTTTGCTTCGGAGTGGTTTGAAGTGCCTTGTTCTTAACAATGAGTAAACAGAGTGGGGGGTGGGTTCCAATCCTCTCCTCCTCTCTCTCTCTCTCTCCCCCACATATTGTAGCTGGAGTCACCGGGGTACCATTAGCAGATGTAACCCGGGGTCTCTTTCCGTTATATCCTCCCAATGTGAGAGGCGCTATACAAATGTCATTTGTTGTTGTGTGGTTCAGGGATCTGAAGCTAACTAGGGATCCTTCAGCCAACCTGAGTGAGATCAGCTAATTGAGCACAGACTAGAATCAGACCTTGATGCTGTTGGCCTCAGTCTCACTCACCATCCATTGGGAGCCTACAATATAGAGACAGCTGCTTTAGAGTTTACTCTGTAATTAGTACCCAGTGTTGTATCGACAAATATCCATATGTGGGCTGTGTTTGACATAACGGGTCTCAGATATCAAGGGTTATTATCTGACTGGACGATTTCAGGTTCATAGATTCAACACTTTTTTTGTACATAAGATTTGAAATAAATTGTCCAGAGATCAGCGTTCTTGAGCACCATGAATGTAGGGAAGCTGTGAGTCCAGTCTCCGATCTCCCTAACAGAAATGAACGTCAGCCACAGCAGAGAATACTGCTTGAGAGAGAGCTCCCAGCTTCCTGTCCCAAAGATGCTGTGTATCATTTACAATTTAGAGCTTTGCTGTCACTTATACCAAGACCATAAACTCGTGGGATAGAGAACTGTAAGTTCTGCTGAATTTCAGTGTTGAGCACTGGCGCCTCGATATGTTCCAGGTATTTTGTCTTGAAGTACCCTTATTTCCTGAGATAGCCGTGGCTCAAAGGCTTTTCTGCGGAGTCTAAAATACATTCATTTCATGCACAGACGTGTTCTGGTGCCAGCCACAGGGATTCCCGTGGATTGTGTCTGCTGCCGAGCATTGATGTGAGAATACCTCATGTTTGGTGGACCAATAAGAAGGTATCAGCTGTTTGTTTTTAACCCTTTTCCTACTGAGTTACAGTGAGAACACGATGGGGATTTCTCAAGCTCTCCTGAATCTGACCACACTCGGATATAATAATAATAATAATAGTCCTTGCATTTGATATAGCGCCTTATCGTGTCTTTGAGACGTCTCAAAGCGCTTCACAGAACATTACGGTCGAGTCAATTGACCTTGTATTGCACTCAAGTGGCTGTGGTCCCTTGAAAACCCTCTCTCCAATTGGCAACGGGTGTGTGCTTTCCACGTAAGCATCCGTGAAATATACATCACAGGGTCAATGAAGAAACAGTGCAAGTCTGGATTTCTCTGGAAATAATAATAATAATCCTTGCATTTGATATAGCGCTTTTCATGTCTTCTAGACGTCCCAAAGGGCTTTACAGAATAGAAAGTTAGCGCTTTCACGCAGTATTTCTCCAGAAAGTTATCTCCTCGCTCAGTGTGTGAGTGATCCAGGCTGATTGGAGTTTAAGAGCCGCAGGTTCAGAACCAATCTGGGGAATGGTTGGGAGAAATTGTGCTTAAAATCTGAATATTTCCAAACCTGTGCATTTGCCGCCATTCCAAATTCCAAATTGAATTCCAAATAATACACAGGAAGTGTTCAAAGCTTTTGAACAGGAAGTGGGAGCTAATGGCAACAGCCATTCATATATAAATAGATATTCTATCCAGCAATAAATATATATTTTTGTTTTTTTAAAAAAAAATGAGAGCATCTGAGCTTGGGAAAAGGGGAAAAATCTTTCAAGAGTTCCAGCTCGATCATCTAACTCCTGACTACATACATGTGGATGTCAACCCTTTGTAACGATCAGGGTCGGGTGGAATCCACAATCCTCATACCTGAAACTGATCTGGAACTGATTTGTGCTAAATCAGGTTTTTGTCAGTTCTGAAGTGCAGTTGGGGCCAGACTTTCAGAAACGGATTTTAAAAAAAAAAGCTCTGACGCAGTTCAAAGAGATGTTTTTAAGGCTTTCGAGAAAAAAAAGTGTAGTATTTACAGCTGAACCCACTTTAAACACATACCAAGAAGCTCTCACAGTGTCTCAAGGCTTCAAACATAACACTCCTAGCTGCATGAAGTTGCTTTCCTTGGGTATTATGTGGTTAAAGTGTTTCAGTGTATTCACAAAACTCCAGCCGGTGTGCGGTCAGCAGCGTAAATAAGGTTGCTTTCAAGTTTTCTCTCACTCGCTCATTTTGAGTTTCAAATTATATATTTCTCAAGGCCGCAAAAGCCCAAGTGAGACACTGCAGCCCTTTTCTGGCTTCTAGGGAACATTGTACCACCAGCCTTTTCATCCCACCCTGTAAGCCAAGACTCATCTATCAAACCTAGGCTGCAGAGGAAACACCCAGATAAACACACCACAGTGCCTGAACTCCCAATCACTCTCTTGCTTCCGCTTCCCTGCTCTATAATTAGAAAGCCTTCTCTTCCGTCTATTCCCTCCTGACGCAAATGCTTTTTGTGGCTTGGCACTTTGTTGGGGCGTGGGTCAGTTTATGGCCAGTCCAGTGTCTGACTTGCTGTTTACAGACTCTTGATTACAGCGTAAACAGCACTTTCTAATTCCATACCACTTGGTCCCCTTTTTTTTTTGGGGGGGGGGGGGAAACGTGTGAGTGTGATCTGGATGTTATGTTGCTCCTGAACCCTCCCCTTTCTTCCAAGCCATCTTTTTGTTTTGCGTAAGTGGTTGGTGTGAAAAACGGGAAACAGTAAATTAGAGCGAAGTAACTTATTGGCTTTTCAGGCAAAGGCTGTTTCCAGCGATTGAATCTAATTAGCCGTTTCCCCCCCCCCCCCCCCTCCCCCCAAAAGATAACTTTCAGTTGGCTATTTTTTCCTGGTGTCACTTCCCCACCTTCTGTGAGATAAGTCGAACAACAAAACACCATTACTAATCAGGCCTCACAAGCTGCACCCTCAGTGTTACAGATTAGGGATGAAAAGGTGATTCGAAGGCACTTGACTTGCAGCAGCGTGCAGCCGGGAGTGTGTGCAAACCACCAGCAAAAGCTGCCTTTCAGAAGGAAACTTCCCTCTAAATTGATGGCAGCTTTCGAACTTCTTTTAAATGGTCGCTGAAAGAATGCTAAACAACCCCAAACAAAATGGTGCACGACCATGGGAGATGATCGTTAACCATTCCTGTTTTACACTTCACCCCCATTAGTTTGTGCAAATACACTGGAAGCCAGTGACTGATAGAGGGTGTGTGTGTGGGGAGCATCTAGTGTTGGCACTGGGCATGGATAGGGGCAGTGGGGGGTGGGGGTCGAGAGTGTGTGCGTGTGTGGGAGGGGTGTATGACGGAGGATGATGGTGTGTGTGTGTGAGGCAGGGTGGGGTATTGAGGCTGTTTGTGAGGAGGGGTGTTTGAGTGGTTGTGTGAACCGGGGGGTGTATGTATGTGAGGTTGATTTACGATCAGAGTTGTACAAATCCTCAAACTAACCCTGACAGAATTGGAGGTGGTGTTTTAATGACAAACTTTCATGGACTTTTTGTGGGCTCAGAATGAAAGCAGAAAACCCATCAATCAAATGCCATTTAATAAAAAGCAATGCATTTAACATTGTGGTTTTAGGAATTATTGGCTCTGTGTAAAGAGAAGCAGCCTTTCATTTGGTGTCAAAGGTTGACTAGATCGAGAATTTCTCATTTTCACTTGACTTTCCTGCAATTTTTGTGACCGTGAGGAGAGCCCAGTTCACTCCTGACCTCGTCCACCGTCCTCCCAGGCACACTCCCCCCCCCGGGAGGCTCTAGGTAACCATCAGGAATAGGAACCCTGTTATAAACTCCCTCCTTAACCCAGGGCTAACCTTGTGAGTCCACTTGTAGCAGCTACCAATACAGTGATCAGCTCACAGAGCCCAGAATCCCAGCACAGTACAGCTGACTCATTCACACCTGGAATTTCTTTGACCTGGTGCTGCACACACAGTACTGACTTAGCCACCAGACGAGTTACTGACAGATTTGACCATTTGCTGACGGACCACTGCCCAGTTTTATCTCCCTCTCCACCGACACCCTCCAAACCTGCCCAGTGAGGCTCCAGGACCCCAAAGTGGTGTGAGACGACTGCCCTGTTACACGATTTAGAAATGTGATTGAGGTTTGAAATGGTGGACAGGACTGAGAGTTATTTTTTTTTAGCCGAGGTAGAGCTGATTACCAGAATGGTTTAAATGTCGAGACAGTGTTCCACCTTTGACCTATTCCTCACCCCAGTTGGGAGCTGAGAAAATGTCTACTGGAACTTCAGGACTGCAGCAGGATGAGGTTCCTTACCTTGAAGGCAACTAATGGTTGGAACAGGTTGCCAGGAAGTGGGGGTTGAGACCAGGACACTGGACTGATTTAAATAGCAGCTCAATGCTATGATGGGAGGACAGTAGAGGGTATTCTGGAAGAGTGAGATCAAATCGGCTGAAGGGCCTCCTGTATCCGAACCAATCTTCTGAGATTATGAGAACTGTAATAATTTGAAGTTTCTTGTCGCACCAAAGGTCCACTCGAGTAACATTTGTTGCCGTTTCTTACAGGAATCCTGCTGGTAACATCTGACACGCAAGGGCATGATTTTCACGTGTTCCGGATCCTGACTCATCCGTGTTCCTCGTCACAGAGTGCCGTGCATCACCTGTACACCTTACACCGTGGAGAGACCGAGGCTAAGGTACAACAACTTGCATTTCTATAGTGTCCCTCATGCAGGGTAGCGCCTCAGAGCGCTTGAAGGTCTTCAGGCGCGACTTGAAGATGGGGGAGGAAGGAGCAAGGCGGAGAGATAGAGGAAGAGTGTTCCAGTGTTTTGGGGCATGGTGGCTGAAAGCGTTAGATGTTCATCAAACATCCGGATGTTGGTTAGCTCTGAAAATAACACTGCGTGACTGACGAGTACTATAAACTAAAGGTTGGAAGTTGGAAATTACTCACAGATTGTACAAGACGTTGGGTACAAGATAATAATACAGTGAGGGCTTGCACTGACTTTATCAGGGGCACTTATGCCCATTATGTTTTATATCGAGATCAGTGCAGCGCCTCCAGTACTGAAAGTTTCTAGTTATCAATTTAGCCGGTATCTGAGGTTTATATGTAAGTTTATATGAACCTGGCTCAATTGGACCTTACCCACTGGGTCAAAAGGTTGCAGCTTCAAGCCCCACATTGGGACTCAATCTCATAGTCCAGGCCGACACTCTAATGCAGTCCTGGAGAAGTCTCGACCTGTGAATAAGACGTTAAAGGCAAGGCCTGTTCAGGGGGGGGATGTTAAATATCCCATGGCACTATTTGACAAGAGAGGGATTAGTCTACCATCATCTCTGCCAGCAATCCTCCAGATTAATTCTGCAACGATTTTGAATCTTTGCCCGGCTTCAGCTTTATCGAATGTCCTCTGCCGTCCATTTACTTCCAAGTTCGTGCACTTCAAAGAACGACTCAATTTGTGGAGGGAAAGAGAGCAAAGTGTCAACAGCAACATTCTGTTGTTTATAGCAGCCTTTCCGTAAACACACTCATCTCGTACACACCTTGGTGTGACTGGAACCCTGTACCTCAGTCAGTGAAATAATGGGCTTTCAAAACACCTGACCGTGGTTCTAGTTTTGCTTTTCTATAGGATAATAACATGGCTAGGACAATCTTATTGTGACGTGGTCGTTCACCTTCATGGATCTTTGTGGGTCTTTGCTGTGTGCAAAATGGCTGCCGTATTTGCTTACCAAAACAGTCACTTTAGTCGAAAGTATTGCCGTGATTCGGTCAAATTTATAGGCAAATGAGTCTTACAATCTTCATTGTGCCAACCATTGTGGAGCACTGAACAGCTATTGGCTCTCTCTTATCCTGTTTTCCCACTATTTACAACTGTGGTTATCTTAATAATCCTATTAAACCTGAACTGCCTTTGGCAGGTTTGAGATTCCAGTGCAGGCCCTTTCTTCACAACGTCTGTAGAGGTTTCCAATGCTGGTGGTTGTGTCTTGAGTGAGTTACCTCATAAGCTGAAGATGTCATTGGAATAGGGGACACTGGGGATCACAGCTATTAACCTTGTTTTAGTAAATTAAACAGCATTGTTTCTGTGTATTACAATGCAAATTGAACAACAGCTTTGGTGTAGAGGGATTTTAAAACGCTAATGAAACATGACCTTGGGAAGCATATAAACTATCACCATTGGGATTGTTAGCTTCGCCAATCAATCCCTGGGTCCTACTGCTCTAATCAGCTATTCTTGTAGTATGTCCGTCAATGTGAATGGGATTTTATGGGATTCGCCCACAAAATATGCAGTCAATTCACTTTACAGTATATCCTGTGAAGCGCTTTGAGACGTCTCGAAGACGTGATCAGGCGCTGTATCAAATGCAAGGATTATTATTATTGGGATTTTAAACTTGAAAACCCAGTTCGGGGGAACCTCCCTTCGTACTCTGTGTTGTCTTTTCTTCCACTGACTGACAGCGAGATTTGCTTCTTGAACACACTTTCATTTGTAGACGTTGTACCAAACATTAAAAGGCCTGAGCCCTGCGTTTATCTCCGTGTAGGACAAATGGTCTGGGTGATAACAGGGACTGTTGATGGCAGGGACACAACCTTATCTCGGTGGTCTCCCGACTCTGTTAGTTTTAACTCACGAACCGCCATTATAAACTGACCTGTGCCCCTGGATAAAAGTGAAGCAATAAAAGAACAAGCAGGTTAGGTTCGGCAGCAGAGACAAGACTGCCAACTGACCGGGGTCTTGCATACAGAATCCTTTCTCTTTAAAGGGTGACCTTGCCGGGTGTCTAATGACCAACTGGTGACTCTCCTTGTTTGGGATGTAAGTACGGTGTCCCTCGGGATGAGCTGACTTCAAGGCGATTTGCTTAGCAATGGATTATTGGGATGAAGTAGATTGTCCATGGTGGTTTAAGTTCCTTCAACTTTGTGATAGTGTGGCCTGGAGCTGCTGTGGATAATAATAATGATAATAATAATCCTTGCATTTGATATAGCGCCTTATCACGCCTTCGAGATATGCCTACCTGCTGTCACTTACATCACTTTTTTGCAACTCTTATCGTGGAATATTTCATGGAGATTAAATACCACGTTTATACGTGGACCAGTCATGTATTTCTCACGTGGTACAGCAGTGGGAATTAATATCAATGCTCTTTTTATCTTAGATGCACTTCCCTCTTGTTGCCACTTCGGCTGAAGGTCACCTGTGGCTGAGCCGTCCACTTGCATTGGCTTTCGCGCAGATGTGACACTGGTCTTCGATAAAATGATGGGGTGGGAGGGAAACCCCGAACTTATATGAAGTTCAGAACACAGGCAGCCACACTGAGACCCAAGTCATTCCCCCCCCCCCCCCCGTCGATGCGGACAAAAAGAAAGGCATCTGCGTAAGCGGCCAATGCACGTCTTTATTAACGGGAACGACTGCCCAAGTCCCAAGAACTGCTAACCCAGTCACCTATCAACAAGATTGTTTGAATGTGCCACTGAGTGGAAAGAGTAAGCACGTTTGATTTGTTCCCCTTTCCACCAAATTCATCGTAATGTGACAATCAAAAACGGCCAAGTATCTGTCAGAGGTAACTGATTAAAAACTTCTTTCTTCTGCTGGGCCTGAGGGCACAGATTTGAAAGTACATGACGGTGAATACAGATTTTTTTTTGTCCGCCGTGCATGACTGGAATTTTTGTGGAGATTTTTATCACGGCTGTCTGTTAGTTAAGTAGGGAGCGTATTGAAACACAGACTGGAGTGAGTGCTTGGCAGTGGCTGGGAGCTGAGTGACTAACTCTTTGATCAACTCATTCAGTGCAGCGACATGTCACTGTTAATCTGATCCCTGTCCCACTCACTCTGTATATTTGAAACCTTATTTACTCAGAGCTTCATAACTTTTCCCCACCCCCATCGCTCCAAGTACTGGGGACATTAATTCAGATTTATAGCAACCCAAGTCTGATATGAATTAAAGGAGAAATTTGCGCCACCTAAATTGTAGGTAAGAAGAAAGGCCTCTTATTAATGATAGATTGCGGTAGTACTTGTCTAGTTCTGGCCCACGTAATAGTGCCCTATCTGCATGAATTGTAGCACAGCATTCAGTTTGAGGAGTGGGAGAATAAATCATTTGAGAGCATTACAAGTGCATTCGCTGGCCATGATCCGCTCGCTGGCTTCAGGTCTGAAACCCGGATGACCATTATTATCCCACACCAAACATTGACTGTTTCGTAACTTTCTATTGCGGAATATTAAAGCAGTGAGTTGAGCACTGCAGAGCGATCCACAGGACTCTCCCTCGTTCACACAGTCCCTCCGAGGACTGACGAACATGGACATTGTTTAAACGAATCGCTGTAAACCTTTGTTGCTCCACCAGGTGTGGTCACTGTCTCAATCTTCCTGGAATGGATGGTGTGGGTGAGGATTCCTGTGCGAGGTGGACTCAGCTCAGCTCCAGCCTCCTGCACCTTCCTTCAGACAGTGGCTTTGCCTGCCATCAGCTTGCCTGTCTTTCTCGTGAAAGAACTCAAATGTGTGAGAAACACAATGCAGAGCGGAGAAATACGAGGTCACTCGAAAGATACTGAGCAAATGTTCGACCTGTACAAGAAAGCTAATGTTTGATGCCTAGAAATACAATGATGTGTAATTCAGAAACTTCAGATAGCTGTGGAATTCCCATCCAGGCTCCACACGGAATTTGCAAAGTCGTTTGCGAAGTCGTTCACCTGGACAAGTCATCGTTGCTCCTGTTATTCCACGGCACCAGCAAAGCCTCCTCTTATCTGGGCTTCACTTAATGAGGTTAAGAGAGCAGGCCTTAGCCACCGCTGAAAGAGTTTGGAACAATGAGGTTCCATTGTGGCTGAGGTGCTGTGCTTTTGTGACCTCGGTTGCGACTGGCTGCAGTGGATGTGCTAACACAGCCTTCCTGCCAGAGAGAAATGGCGCAATTTAGCAATCAAAAGAGCTTTGTTGGAGAGACACCCAGACCTCTGGACTGTGAGTTGGCTTATGTAAGCGGCCGACCGTTTGAAGGGCAGTCAGTCTGACAAGGAGCTGAATACTTGATGTCACAGCATCTGTGTAGAAATAGTTGGCAGATTAACCCTAACTGAACATTACCTCCATTCAACCACGGGCGGTAATCTGAACCAATGTAAAACTATATTACAATATTGCACCCCCAAAACTTCTCTTTCAAAGATTTGGTCTACTTTATTGACCCTGTCCTTTCTCTTGCTGTGGTACAGCCCTTAAGTGCATTTTTCTTGGTCTGGAAAGTTTCCCTGCAATATCCTCCTGTAGGAAGATTGGAATTTAAAGTTCTTTGGGCTGTGGGTTTATTAGGGCAAAAAAACCCACAGGGAGACAGATTCATTCCAAACTGTGTGCATTTGGGATTGTAACAATTCAGATGGATTCCTGTAGCTCAGTGGTTAGAACACTTGCCTCGCAAGCGAGATGTCCTGGGCTCGATTCCCGGGAAGGGTGAAACATTGGGCAAGCTTCCTTACTCCGCACGCCTTTGCTTACCTAGCAGGAAGCGGGACCTGGTTCTTAGTCGATTGGCGGATCGCTTTTCCGGGGTTAATAATCCCTTCAAAAAAAATAATAATGATAATTTGGTCACTCAATCCGAGACCGTTTGTAGGGACGCTGCTGTGCGCAATTGGCTGCCACATTTTGCCCACAAAATATAGAGTCAATTTGCTTTACAGTGTATCCTGTGAAGCACTTTGAGACATCTTGAAGACGTGATTAGGCGCTGAAATCAAATGCATGGATTATCTTTATTATATCTTCAACTGGGATAAAGAATTCAGTGCGTAAAGGTTCATTTGTTTGGTTTCATTTGTGTTGTTAGGTGCAGGACATTTGCTTCAGCCAGGACTGCCGTTGGGTTGTAATCAGCACCTTACGAGGAACCTCCCATGTCTTCCCAATAAACCCGTATGGCGGCTCGCCCTCCGTACGAACTCACATGTCTCCGCGTGTAGTAAACCGCATGAGCCGATTCCAGAAGAGTGCTGGGCTGGAAGATATTGAGCAGGAGCTGACATCTAAACAAGGAGGTCGTTGCAGTCCCGTCCCTGGTCTCTCCAGCAGCCCCTCGGGGTCTCCTCTGCACAGTGAGTACCTTAAAGTTAAGGGGTTACAGTAACACTGTCTTTCTCAACAATGAGTCCATTCCAAGTCTGCCTCAGTCACACATTTAGCTCGGCCAGGCTGGTGCTTCAACGATGTAAATGTCTTTTGCCGTGTGCGCTGGATCGAACTTACGACATCAGGAAAGGGAGCCTTGTCTTGCCTTGTTGTTGTTGTTGTTGCTGTGTGGCATGCCGTGCACCAGGCCATCCATACAGAGTCAGCCGAGGTGTTAAATAATCCTGACTTTGCTATTTGTATAGGGAGGGAGGAAGGGAAGGTGTTAAAACGAGCTGACGTCAGTTTAGAAAAACTGATAGAAAGGTAGAGGTAGGCTGAATTACCTACTTCTGATCCTTTGTTCCTATAAGTAGGAAGTAACCACAAGGCACTTCCTCACCAGGAAGAGGGGAAAATCGGATGTTAGTTTCAGGTTGCTTTCAGCCATCATTTGGGCGAGTTATGAAATGTAATTGGCCCAGTCCTTAGAGCCGCTTGCTCTCCTGCTTTCTCATCTGCGATATGGCCGAGAGATTGTTGTTGGGAAAAGAGAATTTACCCAACCTGTTTTTGGAGTTCTGCAAGTATGTGTAAGTGTGATTGATGGATGACACATCCAGGGCCAGTCCACTGTCCCTCTCAACAGCCAGTTTAAGGATCTTGTCAGGACTACATTATCAATGATATCTCAAGTCCAGGATTTACCACCTTTAAATATCCTCCAGTCTGTATTACACGATCTGAACTGCAGTGATAACAGGGTTTATTCTCCCTTCGTGAAAGGCGCCATATAAATATAATTTGATGATGTTCTTGTTGTTGTCCTCGAGCAACAAAGCCTACGTGTAGGTCACGAACATTTTAACTCGCTGTGTAAATGGAGAAAGGCTGCTGGAATGTAAGCTTTTCATTCCAGAACCGTCCCTTGGTGTTGTGTGCCCGTGTTCTCTCTCCCCCCCCCACCCGTTGCCAAGTGATGTGTGCCTTAGCAATCGGACCGAAATCTCCCAGTCAAAAAAAAAACTTCAGTCAAACGCAGTCCTTTTTATCTGTGAGAAACACCAATTGCCCTGACACAGTCGCAGCCTCTCAGAAAAAAAACTTTCCAAGTAATTGGTTGTTTGTCCCCTCTTCCTGTTGCTGGTCGCTGCCTTGTTAAAATATCTGACGCAAAAATCTTTTATCAGGGCGTGTTTCGGATCTTGCAGTGGACGTCCAGTCTGGTTTTGCGGCTGTCTGCTCCCCTGTTGCCGCGTGTGGTCTCTAACAGAAGCACGGACTAAGGAAAACTCTTAATTCACAGCTGATAAGGAGATACTTCCTGCACAGCCTAACAAGCCAACACAAACTTTGTTTGGGTTCCTTTGTATTTTATCTGTTAACACACCCCGTTGTATTTTTGTAAGTCAATAGCCGGGTGACGAAGTGCACTAATTATGATACCGGCACACAATTGCTGACCTCTGGCTGGATCCTGCTCCTACTGTGAGCACAGGGCACATTGTACTGAAATTGCACCTACTTCCTGCAAGGTTAGCAAATGCTTACCGAAGCTATCGCGCTCCCAAACTATAATTGACCCGATAGTGTTAAGTAAGGAGATGCAATGTCTGAAGTTGGCACTGGCTGCTGTGCATCAGCTCCTGGGATTAGATAGAGCCACTGCAAAGTTATAATGGAACAAAAAAAAGCAAGTGCTGGAAAATGCTGCTGTTTGGAGCTTGGGGATTGCCTTAGAAGGAATTGCAAGAAAGCGATTGTAATTCTCTTGGTATGCTGTAAGCGCTTTGAGACGTTCATCCTCTGTGAAAGGCGCTTTATAAGCCGCTGTCAATGGGTCCTGGACCACAATTTCCTTCGTACTGGCTCAAGTGATGCAGTGTAATACGACCGCTTAATACAGCATGGAAGATGAGACCTCGGTTTTAACGTGTTGTCCAAAGGACAGCATCTCTGGCTATGTGCAGCCTCTTCTTGTCCTGCCTTGGAGGGTCAGCCTAGACCGATGCGACCAGACCCTAAAATCAAAAGGCCCGATTCTCAGAATTCCCCAATTCAACGCGGGTTTAATTCGGAACAAATTTTGACCAGGTTACAGTGCTTGTGACACTGGATCTTGTAGGCTTCGAAACGACCAGATGTGCCTGTGTAACATTTGCTAAGCCATGCACTAGGTGGAACCAGAGATTCTCGTACAGAATTGCAAACCTATTTGAAGGCAGATTTGCTTGTTTAACCAATTAGTGACGTGATGAGGTGCTACATCAAATGCAAGGATTATTATTACGACAATGTATTGAGGAAGCGCTTCTAAATGTTTCTTACCTTTACTTGGAGTGACGAAGGACACTCTCACTTGGGTGCCAGGCAGTTTAGTAATATGGATGCTCAGTCTCAACAGAATCATATTGGACTAGAGGACGTTCCTCAGAATGAATAGTGCTGCCATTTGACCAGCCTCCGCTTTTATTTTCTTCCAGGGATAGAACACCTCACTTCCACACTCTTCGCCAATCTGGCCACCCAGAGGAAAGATAACTCGGTTACCTTTTTTTTCGTTAGTTTAAACCTCCTTTTCCCTGACGGTCCTTGTGTTCGCTGTATTCCCCACTTTAACCTTGTTGCATGATGAATGTGAAATCGGGGGGAGCGGAGCACAGAGCGACATCACCCTCCATCCTTGCTTTTACAGCTGAAGGAAGAAACTGAGAAGCAGAGCTTTTCAAATGGGGAGGAAAGCAGAGAGTATTAACTACAGATTTAATACGTTGATTTATTTCATGAAGTGATGCATCAACAATGGCAGGATCGACTAACACCCAGGTTCCTACTTACCACTGGATAAACAGAGGCGTGTGGAGTAAGGAAACTTGCCCAACATTTTGCCCTGCCCAGGAATCGAACCCAGGTCCTCTCGCTTGTGAGGCGAGCCCTCTAACCACTCAGCTACAGAATAAACAAGCTATTTGCATGCCACCTTCAATATACCCACATTTACACACCTGCAACAGCCACCAAACAGGCAAAGCAGCCTGGCCAGGAGTTTGACTGAATTTGCTCTTTTGACTTCACTAACCGTAATGACGCCTTGTGGTGCGGTGGAAAACCAAATCTGAACACCGCCTCGATTTGCCTTTGAATAGGTTCAACAGACGCAGAGAGATAATAGCTGCAAGGGGTCAAAAGGTGATCAGCACACGTGTGTATATTATCCGTGCGATCTGTTTGACCAATCCGCCTCTGTGGTTCTGGTCGTGTCTTGGGGCTGATTTAACCTTCTGACCGCGTTATTTCACTTTTAACAATTCAAGCACCAAGTTTTTTTTTACTCTTGTTTTTATATTTGGTTAATAATTGTTTTGCCTTTTACTAAGTCTGTGTGAGATTTTCATAATTCCAATTCCACTTCATAATTGCATTGCTGTTCCCTGGGGTGATCCTGCTTCACAGGAATCGATCTCCCAACCTCTCCTGTTTGTTTGGTGGAATGAAGGACATCCCTTTGGACCTGGGGACAGGTTGGAGGATCTTCCAGGTCACCTGGATGAAGCGAGGCATCCAACGCACCTTGGTCAGCAATAGTCACTCCAGACTCTTCCAACCATGCAGTGTGTCCTCTCATAGTGTGTCCAGTAGCTCTTTTTGATACAACTCTGCAGCTGTTAGACCCACCTCAAGACCCACCTCAAGACCCTCCTCCTCGACTGTGCTTTTGATCTCCTTGCTTCCCCCCCTGCCCTCCACCCTCCCCCACCCGGACCCCCAACTCGGGTCTGTAATCTATCTGTCCAGTGCCTTGGGACATCCTCCTGACGTGAAAGGCGCTACACACGTGTAAGTTTGTTGTTGTTGTTAGCATCAGCTCATGTTAGCTAGTGAACTGGAACAGGTAACCAGGGTGGTCAACAAAATAAAACCGCTTGATGCTGTAATGAGAGACCGATAAGGTGGGTATTCTGGAATATAATAATAATTATAAAATAATAATAATAATCTTTGCATTTGACATAAGTGCTTCATAAAGCAAAATCTCACACAGACTTATTAAAAAGCAAAACAATCATTAACCATACGGTAAAACAAGAATCAAAGGAAACTCGGTGGTTGGATTGTTAAAGGTGAACTAATGTGGAAGGATGAGATCAAATGGTCCGAAGGGCCTTCTTCATCTGAACTTCTCTTGTGTGATCTTGTGTGCTTGCTGCCTTGTAGAATTGGCTTATCTGTGCATGAGATAAGTACCTAGGTGTTTTTCAGGTTCAGATGTTCCGGGACTTACTGTGCAAGTGCCAGATCCTCAGTGCCTGCCGAATTAAACATTTTGGGAGAGACTGCTCAAGGTCAGGAGGACATCTGCAGAAAGAGAGAGAGTTTGTGCTCTCCTCTGCCCTGCTTTCTCCCGCCCTCACCCCCGCCCTCCACGGACACCACAGATTTGACTGTACTCCCATCCTGTCAACAAAGTGAGCGTTTTGAGATGTTCTTCTGACATGGAAGATGCTATCTAAATGCGAATAATCTTGTGAATTTTGTTTTGTGGGTGGACAAACAGCCGTCTGATTCAGAGGAGCGATGCAACTAACTGAGCCACACTCATTCCGTATCTATCTCAGAGTCTCAACACTGTTCTATCAGCCCGCTACACATGTTAAAAAAAATTATAAAGCAGTTTTCAAGTTGTGTTTCGCCAGCTTGCTTGTGCAGGGAGTGAATCTGAAAGTCTTTCTGGTGCTCTCGAAGACAGGTGAGAGATTATTTTTGATCGGTTGATAAGTGTCAGGTCATCATTTTTTAATTAAGAAGGTCTCCCCTCGCCACACATGAGCTGACAGGTCGAGAGGGCAGGCAAACAGTCAGGCTGCTCCCAGGCCCTCGTATCCCACTCGTGGTCAGGCGTTACGAGGTGTCAGAGCAGCCTTGGGTGACTTGCTCTTTGATTTAAAAATGTTTTCGTTGCCTATGGGGGAGTGCCTGGCCTTAGCAC